GCGGCCATGATCTTCACAGGTGTTCCGAAGAGGTGTGGCAATCGCGCGCAGCTGAGAGCCAGAGGCAAACATGCGCAGAGCTTCAAAACAGCTTTGACCACAGGATACGAAGCCTCCATAACAACTCATGAAGGCAGATGACGTGGGAAAATCAGCTGATGCTGCGTACCCGGCGCTGAATAGGTACACTGCTGTGATCCCAGCTAACATACCCCTTGATGGATCTGACAGGATGCCGCACAGTGTGCCCGGAGCCCTTCTGGTGGTCCCTCTTCGACCTCCACCATGCACAGGTAATTCACGTCCCAGTCAAGACCAACTGCCAGCTCTTTCGACAAGGAATGCTGCTGTGGCGTATCCACCTCAAGGACCTTCTCGCAACGTACCTGCGGAAAGTCTTCCCGCAGCTGCTGGAGACCATTGGTGCTCATCAAGGTGTGATTGGGAATACCAGCATGAACCTCTCGGTCTTTCATGATGTCGAAGATCCGCTCACTGTCTTGGTAGTGCTGCAGCATCAACTGCTCGGCCTCGAAGTAATCCGAATCCATGGCAATGGCACCGATCACGGCCAAGAAGACGTCACCCAAAGCCTTCGGCGCTCCTGACTTGAAGAGCTGCTGCCACTTGACGTTTCGCTCCTTCTGATCCTTGGGCTGTGACAGCTTCTTGAACTCCTTGTCGAAGCGATTGATGGCCTCCTCCAGCTCCCTGGAGTCTTTGTTCATGGATTCGTGGAGCTCGGTTAAGATGGATCTAGCTGCGTAGCAGCAGACCCAGATTCGCCGATCCAGAGCAATCACGTTGTCGACACCTCCGCGATTCTCTTCGGTTGGCGGGGGCGCTCGGGGAGGCGGCAATCCTTTCGGTGTGGCAAAGGTCTTCGAAAGCGGCTGGCCCTCTTTGTGGCCGACCACGAGATGGGATCCGAAGAACATCGCCTCTTTTACGACCTTGTCCGAGACGTAATGTTCCGTCGCAATCTCGCCCACCAAAGCCAAGTGTCCGTTCGAGCGCACGGCCCTTGACTGTGCGGAGTAATGCGTCAGGGCCTCCGCCTTGAAGCGGTGATCTGTCTGTTGCTCTATTTCTGCAAGAGCTGTGCCGGTAGCACTCGGGAACAGAAGCTTCACGGAGGTTGGCGTGTGAGGCTGCTCGCCATGTCGGCACTGGCCTCCTCAGAGGGTGTGATGGCCATGATCGCCTCGCAGGGTATCCCATCTTCATCAGACTTCAGATTGGTGCTCGAGGCCGTCCGCACCCACTCCTTGCGTTCTTCCGCGTAGGAAAGCGCCTGCCAGGTTCTGCAGTCGTCGGTGCTGTATTGGTAGATGAAGCCCCCTCCTGGAGCCTTAGTAGAAAGTCTCTGCCTCGTAAGGGCGGAGGTAAGGCGGCATACCGAGATCTGCGGTCTTCTGCGGTGGGTTTGGTGCGGTGCCCTTCGTCCAGGGCCGCGCCCAAAAGGCCCCCCCATTTAACACCGAAGACCCTGGCCGTCGCCGAGCACGGCCGTCAGGAGATCCTCGTTTTTGCTCAGAAGCAGCGAGTTTGGAGGAATTTTCTCAAAAAGTTCTGGGCGCTCCCCTCCTGCAGCAGGCCGTAGGCCGTGTCCAAGGTCGTGGGGTTCGTGGAGGTCACCGTCACTGGACCAAGGACATCGGTCTCCACGGTGACAGCCTCGCGGGCCCATGAGATGCTCCATGAAGATCCGCAGCGGAGCAGACGAAGACGCTCTTTCCGGGGCACTGGCCGCAGACGCGCCCTTCAGGCCGCAGAGCGGGTCGGTCAAAGGCAGCTCCCTCCTTCAGCATCGCAAGGCTATCTGGAGGGTTCAGCCCACGAGTAGCGCAAGACTCAACAGAGGGTTTTTTCCCGGTGCAGCTGAGCATCAGGGACACTGCAGCACGCACTTCGTCGTCCACAAGCTCTGCCTCACAGACCTCAGCGCGCCCCCCCGCCCCCCTCAACCTAAAGCAGCCCCTCCTAGCGTCAGTGCTTTGTCGCACACCGTCAGTCTCAAGTGGGGAAGAAGCCCTAAACCCTAAACCCTAAACCCCTATAAACCCTAAAACCGTCCGGCCTCAAAGGCAGTGGCTGTCCCAGTGCTCTGACTGGGGCAGTGGCCATCTTCAGAGCCTTTCCCCGAGCTGTGGCGGCTCGCACCTGGCGCGAGTTTTGACGGGTCCCTTTCTTTGGGGCCAACAAGTACAAGCGATCCCTGGCTCTTAGGGTTTAGGGTTTGGGGGTTTAGGGTTTGTAGGGGAATGGATCCCTATGATAGCCCCTTAAGGTCCCCCTATAGTAGTCCTCATTCCTTACCAAGAACCAGGCCAACAAGGGGTCGTTCAGGGACTTTGGAGGCAAAACCGCGGCCTGTGACAGCGTGATGCCGCGGAGGCTGTCTTTGGCGACCTGGGCCTGGAGATCAAGCTAAGGCGGTTAAGGGAGCACCTGCGGGGATCGTTGACCTTTTTCTGCTGCCTTGATTGCACGATAACGATACTGATCCTTGAGGCAACCTTAGACGCCACGTCCTTCACGCGAATATGGCCAAGGCAGGTAAGGATGTTGCTTTCTGGCTCAGTCCCGGACAGGGTCGAGGTCACGACGAAAAGCCACAGCGGAGAGGCAGCAGATTTTCATAGCCGCATCCTGGAAATGCTTGAGGTGGCCGGGGGTTGGATTGATCAAGGGGTAGCCGTATGTCGCATTCATGAAATCAGGAATGCGTGTCTCTTGAGTACGCCCGCATCCTTGCCGTCCAGATCGTCGGACGGGTCCCGCTCGGCGATGCCCTGCTAAAAAGAGGGGGAAGCGAGCTGAGGGACTCTTGGAGGTGTCACAAACCACAACCCCCCATGCCACTCCAAGACACGCTTGCTTGAGTGCTTGGGGGTTGGCAGAATCTGTGTCCACAGGTCTAACCCCAAGAGTAAACAGTCAATTATGGCATCACTTCGAGTAGGAATCAAGGTGGTAACCGCGACTGGCAGGGCAGCCACTCCGCACCCGGAGCACTGCACCGCCAGACCTCAACTAGCGATGCACGACCTTCGCAGCTGCTCTGCATCACTCCCCAGAGCCCTGGAACACGCCAGCCTCTATACCTCAAGGCACAAGCTCTCAAGTCGTGAGACGCTCATCCGGATTACCCACCATTATTACTACTATTCTTGTATTCTTATTCTTCTTGTTATTCTTAGTCTTATTGTCATTTTTAAATACACGCCTATTCAGTCTTGTTACAATGATCGGAGCCTTTGGAGTCTTCACCCGGCGCGCCTGTTCCTGCGCGAACGCCAGTGCCTCCTCCAAGGAAGATCCCATGGAGTCCATCCTGGTTTAGGGTTTAGGGTTCAGGGTTTAGGGTTTAGCTCGAAGCTTCTGAAGCTCCTGGGAAAACAGGTCAAAATGGGCTTAAGGTGTAGGGTTTCTGGCTATATGACAAGTTATGATGCTTAATCCTTCTTGATTCGGGGCTTCATTCTAAAAAGAATTGTAGCCAAGAAGGACCCAGGTTTGGGGGGTTTGGCGTTTTGGGGCTGGGGTCTGTCTGGTGTTACAAAGGGCCTTTCTGGGTTCACGGAAACCCTCGGGCTCTAGAGGCTCTTTCCCGGTTTGGGGTTTAGGGTTTAGGGGTTTGGGCTTTAGGGTTCTTTGGGGTTTAGGGCTTTAGGGGTTTTAGGGTGTTTAGGGCTTTAGGGTTCAGGGGAGTCTCTGAGGAAAGCTACGCGACACCCCCAGAATCCTAGGCCTGCGCTCTTTCGCCAGGGTTCCGCGTGAGGATCAGGTTGGTGGTGGAGTTCAGAATGCCCGAGACCCGGCGGACGCAAGCTCCCGGGAGTTGCCGGAGGAGGGAGAAGACGGGCACCTGCCGGGTCTGGGGCTCTATTTTTCTTGAGCTCGTTTTCTTCGGCTGCGGTTGCCCTCGCCAGAAATCCTCATTCAGGAAGGAGGTTGTGGCTCGTTGGCTTGCAAGGTTGTAAGGTTGGGGGTTTTGGCGCAGGAGTCGCCTGAGGCAGCCTTCTCGAGGCTTTATCTGCAACGCTTTGCCGGAATCGAAGAGACGAGCCACCCCGTCCATCACGCTGGACTCAAACAGGAACCGCCGCCCATGTGTGGCCGCGAGTTCCGACAGCCTGACTCCGGCAAGCAGCGGCGCAGCACAAACTTCTAGTTGCAATCGTTCACAGCGGCAGTCGACCGTGCCGAAGCCTGCGATAGCCGAAGGCCACTGGCGGCTTGCTGGCCGTGATGGCATGTGCCTGGGCGATCTCAGGATACAAACTAGGCTTTGCTGAACATCACGACTGAAATGCTGAAACTGACACAGAGAAAGAGTGTGGCATAGTGTGGCCCAACGTGTAACACATCGACGACGCCTACTACGGGATCTACCATGCGTGTCCACTTGCTTTTACCCAGGGGAGCGGCCGGTAATGACATGGACAGCGCCGACTGAAGGAGCGTCAAGGCGGGCTCACCATCCGAGTGTGAGGCGTTAATGGCTTCCAGCACCTTAGAGCTTCTCGTAGATTCGATCTGCAATACACAACGCACTCTGGGCGATGTCGGTAGTATTCTGGGCACAACGGCCTCAACCTGCAAAACAAAACCAAGAATCCCCGACGACCCCCTCTGCCAGCTTGGGCCCAGCGCTGCATCGCACTGCCCGTCGAGGTGCGCCAAGAGGGCCTCTGGCGGGGTGAGTTCGATCCCAAAATCTTGCCCCCGACGACGGCTCTGCGACGTAACCCAGAGCCTGCGCGTCCCCCAGCTCCGTGAGGCCGAGGCCCGTCAGAGAGGACGCTGCTAGGCCTGCAGGGCCATTGGGGTTCTGGGCTTCGGGCTCATTGATGCCAGCTCCGGGGTTCTTCCGGGTTTTGGGGCGGAGCCCTGCGCAGATCCTACGAAGGGATGGAGGCCGAGTTGGAACCCGAAGCCCAAGACCATCCTTGGATCCCCGGCAGGCGCGCAGATCGAGCCCCTTCGGATCCGCGACGACGCCGCGGCTGCGCGTGGCCTGGAGATTTTCCGAAGCACCGGAACTCAGCAATCGAAAAGAGCACCGCTTTCTTTGAGCTTTCTTCAAAGGGACGGGGGGCGACTCTCAGTCTGCTCGTAAGCTTGGGTTCAGGCGAGGCCAACGACTTGCACCTTGAGATCATAGCCTTAGAGGAGGCCGCGTTAAGCAAGGCGCCCTAAACTGGAGCTTCTGCAGAGAATTCTTGCAAAGTGCAGGCGGCGGGTGAGGAGCAGCTCTTCTTTGTCCAGGAGCAGACGCAGGAAAGCCTCTCACCAGGTCTGGGTTTAGTGTTTGGCACTGTTTAGTACTACGTTTAGGGTTAGGGCCGGTTAGGGTTTAGTTTAGTCGCTTTGCAAATCGGCAAACCTGCCTTTCCCACGTTGCCGAAGCCCAGCAGCACCACCCGGACCGCCATTGCTTACGCAAGGAGCGGAGCCAGTTCTTTGGCTGATAAAGTATGCCCACGGGACAAATGACTCAGGTTCTGCATTCTGCTGATATGTGTGGCCCGCCGCTGCATCACATCATCAGGAGCTCAAGAGGAAAAACTCCGGCATTACAGCGCGAGTCACGGCACGAAAGCACTGCCGTTCAAAGGAAAATGGTTGCTTCACCGAGTTCCACACGAACTCGCGGACGTTCCCACCTCCCACTTCCCCGAGTGTAAGAACCACCAGGCCTTGCCGGACAGCAGAAGAGGCGAAAAGCGTCTTTGGCAAAGGCTGAAAGCATATCCGCCTTGCCGCACGCGGATGCCTCAGGCCGTCGCACTTCTATCGCCGTCTCTCGGCGATCTAGAAAGCATCTATCTGCTAAGGGCTCGGCTCTCGATGATCGGGTTCAGAGGCATGGTCCAGAATTGTAGCTCTCTCGCTGCTGTGCCGGCACCTGACACAAACACCACGAAATTCCCAAGCCACGAAGAGCAGAAAACGAGAGCGATGAATGCTTCGAAGCAGGGCGCCCATGGAGTTCACGGCACAGAACATCTCCAGCGAGTAGAGGGTGTCTGGGCCTGGGAATGCTTCTGTGAAAACTTCCCCCAAAACTCTGGAACCCAAAAGCCAATCATAAAAATGGTCGCAACCTGGAGCCCTGAACGGTAAACGGTCGCAGCTCGGATCCTTAAAACACCTATTCAAGTCCAGCTTAAAAGCCTGAACCTGTTAGAGAGTCGTGGAGCCTGCTTTGAGATCGAAACCTATCAAACCCTGCAAAAAAGCCCTGACAAGGACAACTAAACCTAATGAAAACCCTCGTTAGCCCCCTGCTGAACCCCCTGATCATACCCTCATCAACGCCCTCCCTTCCAAACCCTCTTCAGTGGAAACCCCGGCAAGAAGGAACCCCTCAAAAAGAAAGCCTCCATCTCCCTAAACCCGAAACCCTAAACCCTAAACCCAAAAATTCCTTCTTTCCTCCGAGGCTCGTAGTCCACCCAGGCGGCCCGTGAGGTGCTCGGAGGACTGCGAGCGGAGGTTCGAACCCCCCATCTCCCAGCGACAGCGCCTCCGCTCAGAGGCTTTCGGATCTTGGAGGGGATGCTTGAGTTTTGGGTTGTTTATGGGTTTAGGGCTTAGGGGTTTTAGAGGGTTTTAGAGGGTTTTAGGGGGTTTTGGATTGTACGGCAGGGGTTTGGAGTCTTGTGGTTGTGTGGGCTTTAGGGTGTCATTTCGGCTTTGGGCTTAGTTTGTTTAGGGCCTAGGGCCTTGTGGGGCTAGGGTCTTTGGGCTTCGGGTTACGGGGAGGGTTTAGGCGGTATTATGTGCTCGCCTACACACTCTATAACCTCCTCCAAGTTAAAAAAACGGCCATACACTCGAATTCAAGTCTTACGCACCGTGGGTTTCTTACAGTTTTGGTGGCCTCGGAAGCTGCGGTTTGGCAACGAAGCGGTTTGGATGTGGGCCCCGAGGTGCAAGCGGATAAAACATTAACGAAAGCTGATGCAGCCGTCACACCGGCAGAGCTGGAAGGACTGAAGCATGAGCATCGAGCGGCTGGCCGTACAAGATGGAGGCTGCAAACCAGTTTTTTGTGACTCCTTGCCTCGTGGTGCGCACATGGCCCGCAAGACAGTGCACAACTGACTTGCAGACTTATCTGCGCTTTTCGAAAACAGCGACTCGTGCGCATGGCCCAGTGCTTCAGCGAAACGAATGCTGCGACAAAAACTTTTCAAACATCATGGAGGCTGAAATGGGCTATTCCGGAACAAATGTACCTATTCGGTTTGCGCAGAAGCCGGGCAAACCTCGTCAGGGTTCGTTTCCAAACATTTTCTGAGCATGTCAACTCTGTGAGGACTGCAAATGTGTTGTGCAGCTTGGTGAGAATGGCCTCAACGCTCAGCAGCGGCATGTCTTTCTTCGACTCGCTTTGCTCACGAATGACCTGGTCAACCATGCCAAAGTTTGCAACACCATCAGTACATCCACTGCGGCTTTGCCGGGTGTTGTCCAGCCGTAGTTGGCTCACACCAGTTTGACCATTGTCATAGTGGTACTTTTCCACTTTGTGCCGGCCCAGGTACACAAGACCTCTTCCTGAGGGAGGGAATCGAGCTTGCGGAACTTCCGAGTCCCGTCATCACACGAAAGCACTCCACTTCCCTCGACATCGTTGCACGGCTGCAACTGAGTGCTGGATGGCATTTTGGGGCAGTGATGTCCATCACCGCATCGTAGACAGCCATGACCTTTGCCTTTGGGACGGATGCGACCACACGGCCAAGAGCTGCGTTCACAGCATCCCAGTCTGCTCGAGATGTCGCGCTATTTGGCCCACTGATGCTCCCGATGGCCTTGTGGTGTGCCTCCGCGGCCACTTTCAGAAGCTTGGGATCCGCAGCAGCGCCCATCTCGATCATCTTGTCAATCGCCTTCAGAGTTTTCAAAGGCTGGAACTTCCCGGCGCCTGCAAGAAGATGCCGTTGTTCCAGTCCACCTCCTTGGCAAAGTTGTAGGAGGCATCTCCTAGCTTCTTTGATGCATCTCCAATCTCGTTCGCGAAGGCGGCAGGAGCCATCATCATGCTGGCCGCTGCGGCTGCCACAGGGGCGGCATGCCGAGGTCCAGGCACAAAGTTCAACTGCTCCTTGATGCTGTACACAACAGCAGCTGCGACACCCAAAGCAAGAAACTTCCTGGCTCCGCACCATGGCAATAGGAACGGGGGATGGAGCCGGTCAGAATATTGAGCCTGCCAAAAATGCCTTCAAACGTCAGCGCACCGCCATCTCCCTCCCCGCCCATGCGGAGAACATTGCTGCCGAGGCTGAAGGAGCAGCTGAGCAGCTGCCGGCGCTCCGGATGTCTTTACGCACGACACGTTGAACAATAATGCGCATCCCAGGCACTTGCAACCCCTGATCAACAGGTTCACCGTGGTAGCCGTCTGAAACTCCGAACTGGAAGTTGCGAACTCGTGCTGGACTGCCCATCCCTGCAGGCCATTGGACTCCTGCGTCCCATCGGTCGATGAGGCCACCTTCGAAGATCCTGTGCACGCGTGCTGCCGAATGGTAGCCTTGGCCAGAAACGGCCAAGGCAGACGGATCCCGAGCCTCTCGCTCCCGTGCCTGACCGTCACACAGAAAGGCCCGGGATTCCTGGCAGCGGGAGGCCTCCCATTCTGCTTCCCGGAAGCCCGTGTAGGGCGGCTGTTGCTCAGCTTCAAGGCCTCATACACTGGGTCCACGAAGCCGGGGTAGGCAAGAACACGTCCAAGTTCGGCTCAGGACGCCTGCAGGGATGTGGCATCAAACGTCATCTTTGGAATGTTGGGGGTCATGCCGCCTGGCAACTGGGATTCTGGTCGTGTCTTCGAAAGAGCATCGTTGACGATGCAAGGGCTCTGAGTTGCTGAGCATCTCTTCCGCGAATTTCGTGAACCACCACCACGGCAGTCCTGCGCTGCTGCCTGACTTAGCAGCAAATCTCGGGAGATTTCTCGGCACTTCCCTCAAGCTCGGGTAGAAATTCTGCTCGCTGAGATCCACCAGACGGCCGAGGCTCATGAGGACGACCTGCATGTCGTCATCTTCAACATTGCCGCACATGTTCCTGGCGAACTTCTCCCAGCTATAGTAGTTCGCCATTACCTCAGCGACGACATCAGATTGTACCTCAGCACGGGCAGGGCTTACAAAACCGAGTGCTGACATGCTAGAGGTGTATCGATGTTTGTAGTTCGTATCGACTCTCCTCACCTATTCTACATGAAGCACGGGTGTCGGTACAGGAATGTGGCACCGGGTCCACACAAACTTGAGCTGTCCTCCTAGAATCAAGAGGCCCCGAATCCCCCCAGTGCACCTTGTACTGCATCTCCACGACCGACTCGAAGTTAGGCTCGAGGCTTCTGGTAGTGCACACATGTACACAGTACATCTTCAGTGCGCAAAGCCTTCGGTTGTTAAAGCCGTAGGTGCCGAAAGCCTTGTGCAACTTGTCCCTGTCAACGAAACCGACCAACCTCCCAATGGACATCACGTCCGCACCCAACCGCCCTCCTTTGGCATGATGTCATCCACCACTAATAAACTCGAATGGTGGGCTGTCTCCTAATCTTCCCTTATGGCTGGGGGCCAGGTCTTCGCGTACCACCATCAGCAAGCGCTCGCTGTTATTGCAAGCGGTTATGATTCCCAAACTGGCTTCCCAACTCGCCACAGAGAGTTCACGACCGGCCGCACCGATGGCACGATGGGCTCTGAAAACTACCCGTATCCTACACACTGAATTAACTGTACCAACTTTTCTTTGAAAGCTCCTGGAGCCGGGCCTTCGGAAATGCGCACAGCAAGCACACTCTCTTGGTTCTCAACAATGGTTCTGCCGGATACTTTCTGCGTTCTCTTGGGGACAAACCGAGCCGGACACTTGACCCGTAACGACGAAGAGCAAAACCCCAGAAGAGAAACGAAACTCTCACCCCCAACCAAACTCCAAAGCCGACGAGTAACGCCAAACTACAAAGCCTATAGACCCCCCCCCCCACCCCCCACTCCAAACGCCTGCCCCTGACCCCAAATCCTCAACCCTCGGCCCTAAACCTCAACCCTAAACGCCCCTAAGCCCGTAAACCCTAAGCCCCTAAGCCCCTAAGCCCCTGCCCCTCATTCGGAGTCACAGACTTGGAGCCTACCGAGGTCGGCTCTGCTCACCGGCAAGTCGACCACTGCCGAGGACCGACCTCGGCAGACTCTTCCCATGAGGCTCAAAAGCTGTTTTGTTTGGGGGGGGGGCTGAAGGCTTAGGGTTTAGGGTTCAGGGGTTTAGGGATTTTACAGTAGGGTTTAGTTTGGGGTTTAAGTCGGTTTTTAGTCGGTTTAGGGGTGGCCTGTGACAAGATGGAAGAGGGGCGGAAGCTCGGGTTGCTTGGGATCCGGGCTCTTCGAGAGACTCCGGCTCC